GCGCGCTCTCTGCACAGGGTCGGCCTTGGACAACTGACCGGAAGCTGGTAGCTGGTCCAGAGGAGCATGATACACTTGTTCTGGCTCGGTCTGGAAGGGATCTGACGTACTGAAAAGTACTGTCCTTCACCGCCCGAATCATGAGAGCTCATGAACGAGCTCATGTTAGCCCCTGGTGAGGCCGCTGCAACTTCCCCTGAGCAAACTCACGGAGCCCCTTTGCCTCGCAAACGAACTCGTTGCTGCTTGGAGCGTTAAGCATAGTCTCCCAAGAGCAAACATATATCGCTAGCAATGCCTGGCACACAAAGGGGAAGGTTTTGCCTGGGGCTCCTGTTCTATCAATCCTCGCTTTGAGGCACACTTAGCTCACTGAAAACCAGGACCTTCATGGAGCTCGTTCACCGGTGAGCTCGTTCGCCGCATTTTTAGTCTTTGCGACTTTTGGTGCACCAGCCATGAGCATTTCCCCCAGCAGGGCTCCCTACATTTCCCTTTTAATATCACCTCAATCAAGGGAAACGCACCTGAAATGGGCCAGAAAGGCGATGTTTTAATCCACCGAAACAGGACATATATATGGACCCCTATTCAATTTGCCACCTCTGACAATCCCGGAGCTCCAAAACGCCCACAGCATTCTTACAGTGCTCACATTCGACTTGAGAGGGCAGAAACTTGGGGGGCTGGAAAAGGACCACCGCACCAAATGCAACTGATCTACCCCTGTGTGTTGGTCGTTGTAGTGTGTCTGTTCCTCAAACTAAGAAAAAACCAAAGTTGTCTGGCTTCCCTTGTGGTGTCCCTTTAAAAACCAACCAAAAGGGGGTGCACACCATTTGAACACCCGCGTCTCTGTTTCTTTGAACCCACGCCCGGCTTGTCGTTTCGGCCGCCTTGGGCTTCAGCTTCCCCGCCAGGAGCAACAGCTTGCCCGAGGCCTCCAGGGCCTCAACGGAGGCCGAAGAAACTGACCCAGAGAAACTTGACGTCGAGGCCAACCCCCAGAACGGGTAGGTCTTGGCACCAAACATTTTGCCAAAGGATGCCAACCCCCCAAAGGAAGCCCCCCTGACATGAGTGGATTGAGTTTTGGTTCCCCCCAAACAAAAACATACCAACCTTGAAATGGCTACCCCGGAAGAAAGACACGCCCATGCCCTTGGGGCGGTGCAGCCCATGTTGCCCTCTTTTCTTTGGGGAGGGCCGAGGGGAACACGCATCATCGGGGTTTGATTTCTGCGGGGTTCCGCAACGAGCGCACGAAGTCTCACATCTGAGTGCCGATCTGTCCGGCACAGAAAAGCTTTGCCGGTAGAAACTTAATCTGATCAAACAGGCATGAGAAGGCGACGGTGGATCCAGGGATTCATTGATTGGCACCTTCCCAAACAGTGAGCCCTGATGTTTGGAGCTATGCGAGCAAAGTTGTTTCTTTTCGCGTACAGTCGGACTCTAGCAATCCCTGCTCTTTTTGGAATATGGCCTTTCCACATCCTGAATGGATTGCGTTTCTATGTTTCTTTGAATTGTTGCTTGCGTTTCCCTTGGAAGAGGACACTGGGCGAAAACAATTTGTCATTGGGAAACAAGCCTTATAGTCGTGTTCAAAAGCACAACACGCCAGCTTACCCTCACTCTGGCCATGGAAGTTTCCGCCAGATTGGCCCCAACCAACGGTGCTTGAAATCGAGAAAAAAAAGGCTTCAGGCCGTCCAGTGGATTCCTTCCCTTCCGAATTGTAGACTTCCTCCCACCAAAATTTCACCCCGCAAAGGATCCTTTTCCAGCTAGAAGGGATCCCTGTAAAGTACCATGTTTGTCCGGGGGGATTATCATGACAGCACGAAACCTTCATCCTGATATAAGCTGCTCATGATTCGGGCTGACTATTAGGACACCCCTAACTGCCGGGAGCTTTTCTCTGAACCCTTCAACCAGAACCTCTTGGAGGCTCCATGCATCCAGCGATTCTTTTGCACCAAAGAACGCGCGAGGCGAGCGGAGTGGAATGCTGCCGGCCATCCCGTTGACCTTGAAGCGTTGGAGTCTGGCTCGAACCCAGTGACTGGATTGAAAACCGAAAGAGCATTTCCTGCACGGATACCTGCGTCAGAGTGGTGATTTGACATTATTAAACTTAGCCATGGCTAAGCTGCCTTACGATGACATGTCTAGCACGTAATATATATATATATATAGAGAGATTGTATAAACAAGTGCTTGGTTCAGTCAAGCCACCGGTACAATGAAGCATGTATCCTAACTTCCCAGTCAAAGCCAACGGGCAACCACGAATTTCCACCGCCGTGCGCAGGAAAACACTTGGTGCAGCCATCCGCAGCTGGCGAGCAGGCGGGAGCCTTGATCAATCACCAACTCAGAACGTTCAACGGGTTCTAACAGGTTCCGTGCGCTTGCACCAAAGGACGATCGCACGTGCCTGTGTGTGTGTGTAGCCTCCTGGAATCCATCTGCTATAAACGATTTAGCCTTTTGCAACCCATGAGTTTTTGCACTTCAATCAGTGAAGGAAAACACAAAACAACCGCAAGAGGCAAATCCAGGGTACCCAGCAGCAATTCACGGAACGCACTACTTCACCCTGAATCGCAGTAACACTTGCCTGAGTGCATTGCAAAAATGTGTATCTATATTTTTGTATGGATGTAATTTGTAATACACATATATAAATGTATGATTATTATAATACATCACCAAACGACTTTCTCAGCAACTAGCAGCCAACCTTCCCTCAGGATAACAAGCACTCGTCTCTGAAAGAGGCCAAAGGTCCGAACAAGAAGCGGCACATCAGCTAAGTGTCCCCCAAAACAAAAGCGTCCCGAACAATAAGAGCTAAGTATCCCAAAAATAAGAGCTAAGTATCCCAAGAAATAAGAGCTACGTATTTAAAATAAGAGCTAAGTGTCCCAAAATCAAGAGCTGAGTATCCCAAAATCCGAGCTAAGTATCCTCCATATAAGAGCTAAATAGGCCCTCTAAAGAAAGGGGTTCCAAACGTGCTATAGCACCTGCATAATATATATATATATATAATGCTACCCCCCCCCCCTCCCCAGGTACCCAGGTTTGGGCTTGGACACAGCCTTCGTACGTCCCTTTCAGACCCTTCCATCCCTAACAGCCGCTTCTTGGCTGGGGATGATGAAGGGACAGGGATGAAGAGAGGGCTGGCAGTCAATGGTCAAGAATTCTTGGTTATAGATGGTGAGGGATGAGATGTAGATAGGAGACGGAAGTAACCAAGAGAAAGAGATGAATGGGAAAGGAATGACTTCTGGATTCTCTTTCTTCTTGGTCATCATTTTTTCATGTTTCTCTTGTCCTATCATTTCCCTCTCTTTCTATTTCCCAAGACGCAGATAAAGGGAATTAGAGGGAAATGGAAAGAGAAAGAAAAGTACATCTCTTTCCATCTCCTGGACTTCTCGCCTGTCAACAAATCCCAGATGCTGAATGGGACCTAAAGAGAAATCTCACCTTCATCTCCCATCTGTCCCTTTCCTTTCTGTTGCTTACGGATGAGATGGTATGCAGCAAAAGATAGGACCAGAGGATATGAAAGGCAAATGACATGAGGAATAGAGTTAAACGGGAAGAAAGAAGGAATGGATTTTTAATTGTTGACCACAAACCCTTTAACTGCTTCTGGATGAGTCTTTCGGTAGACAGCTATTTTCCTTTTACCTCGTGCTCTAGGATCTTGGAGATTACAGTGAATAGAATGGGATGTGATGAACCTTTCTGTAATAGCGGTTCATCTCTGAGATTGATGGTGTACGAAAGGAAAAGGAAAGGTTAACCGCTATGACGAAGAGATGAGGAATGAGGTGACAAGGAACATCAGATGGGATTTAATGGATTGGCGAAGGGATGAGCCAAGAGGTAGGAAAAGATGAAGTGACAGTGAGCGAGGAATCTTCATTGGTAGGCAATCTCTTTCTCTTTCCTGTTTCCTCGCTGTCAAGAATTCTTGGTTGTAGACGGTGAGGGATGAGATGTAGATAGGAGACGGAAGTAACCAAGAGAAAGAGATGAATGGGAAAGGTTAACAGCTATGACGAAGAGATGAGGAATGAAGCGATTGTATGCATGTATGTATGTATGTATGTATGTATGTATGTATGCATGCATGCATGCATGTATGTGTGTATGTATGTATGTATGTATGTATGTATGTATGTATGTATGTATGTATGTATGTATGTATGTATGTATGTATGTATGTATGTATGTATGTATGTATGTATGTATGTATGTATGTATGTATGTATGTATGTATGTATGTATGTATGTATGTATGTATGTATGTATGTATGTATGTATGTATGTATGTATGTATGTATGTATGTATGTATGTATGTATGTATGTATGTATGTATGTATGTATGTATGTATGTATGTATGTATGTATGTATGTATGTATGTATGTATGTATGTATGTATGTATGTATGTATGTATGTATGTGTATGTATGTATGTATGTATGTATGTATGTATGTATGTGTGTATGTATGTATGCATGCATGCATGCATGCATGCATGCATGCATGCATGCATGCATGCATGCATGTATGTATGTATGTATGTATGTATGTATGTATGTATGCATGTATGTATGTATGTGTGTATCTATCTATGTGTGTATGTATCTATCTATCTATCTATCCATGTATGTATGTACGTATGTATGTATGAATGTATCTATGTATGCGAGCGTGTGAGATTGTAGCATCAAGAAAACGTGCCAAGCAGCCAACCCCACACAGATCGTGGCTGGATGCAATGACTAGCCAGACCCTCGATACCATATGATACAAGGCCCCCAATCTGAACTCCTAAACCTCTGTGGACGCAATGCAAAACAAAAGATGTCGAATCCTATCACATTACCCGCCAGAGGTGCAATTGCCTCAAATCCTTGGAACAGCAAACCATTGTCTTCCGGCTCCACTGGTTGGGGCCAACATCAAATCGGGCAATGCATCAGGTCCCGTGATGCGGCTCACGCCAGCCGGGTGAGTAGGCAAGACAGCCTCACGAGCCCAACGGCTCACTTCGAGCTCTTGCGGGTCACCTGGCCTTGGTAATGTGAACATGTAGGACCTTCAAAAGGCAAACGCGTTGCCTGGGCAAGATCACTTTGGTAATCACACACAAAAACAAAGCCCCAACCTGCCAGTTAACCAGCACTGTACAAACATGTTGCCTGTTCCTCACTCACTTACATCGGACCGCCCCCCTCTCGTGAGCACGGCCAAGTCTGTCTCTGCGCCTTACCGACAATTGCAGTAGGCCTTTACGCGGTGAAACACCGGAAGGCGAACGAACAAAACCGGTGTCGGTACGATCTGTGCAAGACCTCCCTGTTTGCTTCTGATGAAGATTCACTGTTGCCCGGGATTCTGACCAATATCACTCATGGCTGATCCTATGGGTTTGGGGACCCCTGAATAAGGCTGGTTTCCTTTGGTGTTTGCTTGAAATGAAGCCAAGCATGGGATATATTCTCGAAATAGACACTCCTATATTGAGGGCGCTGTCTGTAGAATTCAAAGGGCTGCAAGGCACTGGGCGCTCAGCAGATTGTGCAGCTAGACCAACGGAAGGGCCGAGCAACTGTCAACGTGGGATGTTAGCGGCTGCTTGACGGCAATCCAACTGTGGATTTCACCGTCTCTCTGTTCGCACCAAACAATCCTAGATTTCAAAGAGCTTGCAAAGACGGTATGTCATTTGAAGGGCAAACATGAGCAAAAAAGCAAGCCATGTCTCGGCCAGCTCAAACTCGCAATGCTTCTTGGGCTAATCACAATGATTCACCAGCCTGATTTGAGTGGCACCCCCAAGAAACAGACATTTGTTATGTATCTGGCCGATCTGCAAAACCACCTGATCTCTGGCGCATAGGCACCCCGCCATCCTCGACGGTCCAGACTTCATCGCACACCTCGGTGTGGCCATGAACCAAAGAGATCTGTCTAGGGCGTGCGTTGTCAGGTATCGGTTGTATCACTCAAATTCATATTGAATCGCCTCAAGACAAACAAAACTCATACCTGAGAATGGTGTTGAAACTACGGGCCTTAAACGACTTCTCTTGGTGTTCTATCATCCTCCTCGGTGATTCCAGGTAGCCACTTGCAGGGAAGCGAAAGAGGACATCACTCCAAAACTAATTCGAGAAGTCCAAGCGATAAATCATCATGCAGGACTTGTTTCGGCTTCTGCACGATCCGGACTCAAAGGGGGGCAGCCTCCGGATTCTGGGGTGGTGCTCACCCTCTCAAGTCGTGGCTAGGAGACCAACCTGGGAAAACAATAATCGATCATGGAAATAACAAAGTTCATCAGGGCATCATCCCTGCCAAGGGAAACCGTAAATAGGCCAAACAAATGATGTTTCAAACCACCAAAGGCAAATAGAGGGACCCCTGTTAAAAGGCCGGCTTTTGCCAAGTGCCAAGTGATAATACACATTCCCTCTTCCAACCTTGCAAACACCTGCAGCCAAGCCAAACAATGTAAGCTTCCCTCCAGCCCACTCTCCCCCACAGCAACCGGGGGGGCAGGGGATCATCTGCGCACACAAATCTGGATCATCTGTACACACAGGCTTTCCTCACTTATTGCGCCATGCACTCTGGATCATCTGCGCACACAAGGTTTCTGTCATCTGGCTCATCTGTACACACACACACACTTTTGGCAGGGTGGGGGGGTGGGGGGGGGGGATTGGTAAGCACACCCGCTCAAGTGCGCCCGCTCAGCACTGTGGGGGGGGGGGGTGGTGGGGGGGAGGGGGGAATGGTAAGCACACCCGCTCAAGTGCACCCGCTCAGCGCTGTTTCCACGCATGCGGAAGAGTAGCCCGAAGGGGTGGGGGGTGGGTGGGGAGGCGGGGGAATGGTAAGCACATGCCTGCCACCTAATAAGCATACCCGCTCACGTGCAACAGATGGGGTGCGGTATTGGGGAAGGGTGGGGTGGGGGTGGGGGCTGGGGCGGGGCGGGGTGGGGCACACCCGCTCACGCGCGTCCGCCTAGCGCTGCATCCACGCTTACCACCTAATAAGCACACCCGCTCACGCGCGCCCGCCCAGCGCTGCACGCATGCCTGCCACCTGATAAGCACGCCCACTCACGTGCAACACATGCCTGCCGCCTTAATGAGCGCCTGCTCAGGGTGGGCTGGGCTGGGGTCAGGCTTTGGGGAGGTTGGGGTGGGGTGGGGCACACCCGCTCACACACGCCCGCCCAGCACTGCGCACATGCCTGCCACCTAGCAAGCGCACCCGCTCACGCGTAACAGATAGGGTGGGGTATTGGGGAGGGGGGGTGGGGTGGGGGTGGGGGGGTGGGGGTTGGGCCCGGGGTGGGGCACCTGCTCACGCGCGCTCGCGCAGCACTGCATTCATAAAAAGCGCACCCGCTCACGTGCACCCGCCCAGCACTGCGTGCATGCCTGCTACCTAGCGCACACCCGCTCGCGCGCAACAGACGGGGTGGGGTCTTGGGGAGGGGTGGGCGGGGGTGGGGGGGTTGGGGTGGGGTGGGGTCCCTTCTTGTGCATAGCAGTAAGCACTGCGTGTACAAACGATCCGGGGCAAAAAAGGCCCGCGTGCAGAGACGATCCGGCCCCGCGTGTACAGACGATCCGAATTCCGCGTGTACAGACGATGCACTGACCGAACCGGGGTGCGAACTGGCAACATCTGTTGTGAAGAAACTACTGTACACTATGGCCCTCTGTCAAGAAAGAAACCTCAAGCATGTTGCAGTTACAGTGGTTACATTTGTGCGTGTGCCGCTGTGTGTGTGTGTGTGTGCGTGTGTTTATTTGTGTGTGTGCCTGTGTTTGTGCTTGAGCTTGTGCTCGTGATTGTGTTAGTCTTTGTTGTGCTTGTCTTTGCGTGTTGTGTTGTTTGTGTTTATGTTTGCGTTTCTTTCTGCGTTTGTGTGCTCCAAATCACTACTTTGACACACACGACGCGGTCAAAATTCCCCACTACCCCATGGGGCACTTAAAAAGCTCGTAACCCCAAGACGTTTTGCGGTTGGAAAAGTTAGCGCTCATCCCCCACCTCCCTCCCAACTGGATTCCCCATCGCATGCCCGAGGCCTCCTCGATCAGCTTCTCGCTGTGGGACACCACCGCGAAGCCGCCCCGGAAGGCCCGCATCGCGCGCTTCAGGAGCTCCACCGTGTCCGTGTCTGAATTCGAAGCGAAGGCGCGGCGAGACTTTGGCAGGGTACCCGTGTTGCCCCTTGAAGCGAACAAGGACAAGGAACAAAGGAAACGCGTCTCTGGGGGTCCGGTTTAGAAACATATGAGAGTAGCTTTCCAACATGTGTCAATCCAAATGGGCTGTTTTACAGCACCTTTTGAATATCCGTTTCTTGTGAAAGCTCCTCTTTGCATCACCGCTTCAACTTTTGGGCCCAAATCACCATGCAAGTGCGGTGCCTGGCGGCGTGAAGAACCGACGACAACCGGGGGAAGCCAGAAGTCTGGTTCTGATCGTGTACCTTCACGGACCCCCAGTTGCGACGCCAAAGCCAAACTGCGAGACTTGCCAGTGGTACCAATGGAAGGACCAATTTTCCACGCAAATGGGAGGTGTTCTGACATTGCAGAGAGCCCTCATTCCCACCAGCCCTCATTCCCACCAGCCCTCATTCCCACAACCCGTTTCTGCAAGGTACACTCAGCAGGCTCCTAGCTGTCTTTCGAGGGATCCGTGGTACTGTGCTCAACCAAACGCCACCCTGGCCTGTCGGATGTTTCAGACTGTTTGAGCAAGATTCAGCAAGTGCACTGTTCCGTAAGCTTGGTGCTTTCGTCGTCGAATATGTTCACTCATGCTTGCGAGAACAGTGTCTTTGGGTTCGTGTTGATGGCAAACGCCGGATCTGCTTGCAAAGGTGGACCCAGTCGGAAGCAAAGAAGTGACTGTCTTGATGCCGAAGCGCCTAAGTAGTTGGTGGGCTCGTCCAGGCAAATGACATGCGGCCTGGGCACGGAGCCGAAGCATCACCGTGTCGAAGCACGTTGCCCTATCGAGACAAGCAAAGAGGCCGGAATGGGTCAGCCATATGTTGCCAAATGGCCCATCCATGTGATGCCGCGGTATGGCAGGAAAGCTTTGTAGAAGAAAGAAGTGCACACTCCATCCACACAATTTCTCACCTCTCCACACAAGTTGGGCGAGCTTGGCACGTCTCACGGCAAAAATCCAGTGGAGGGTCCACCCTATATCTCCCAGTCACTTTACTACAACCCTGCACTTAAAAACAATGCTTCGACCCCAGCAGTGGGACCCACCGGTTTCAAGCTTCGAGCATGCCTGGTCCAGAAAGCCGCCCCCAGGGCGAGCTTGCACTTCTGCCCTGAGGACAACATCTCGATCCTCCGGAAGCAAACCGTGTCCTGGCCGATCGGAACGCCCCTCCAGCGGCTCCATCCGACGGTTTGGCACACTAAGTCAAAGGTTTGCAACGCAAGAGATATTTAAAACTTGTTTCCCACGGGCACCCTGCCATTCGTGTTGCGTTCAAATCAAAGCGAGTCATGAGACATCCCAGATCGCGATTGGAAGGAGGCTCAGACATCTGATCCGAAATATGCTTAGACAAACGGTTGATTGATCAAACTCGCCATATCTAATGAGGCGATGATACTCACAAGCACCTATTCAGCCTTGGGTTCGCCAAAGATTCAATGAGGCCAGCCTGTTAACACAACCAGTGATCCTTGAGAAGATCGGAAGCCATCAGGCGTGCTTTTCAGCGATGCAACACACCAAAATGTACCTACAAAAGGAAACACTATACAACGAGTCTACCGACCAAAAACCAATAGATACTGGGCATTACTAGTGAGTCCGCTACAAGTTCGGCAGATGGGTAGCCAATCCGATAGCCGGGTCAATGTCTGGCCCGAGCTTGGGCCAACCTGACCTAGGGATCCAGGAGTAGGGGCCGAAGAATCACACATCCCATGGTCCTGACTTGATCTTCTGTTGAAGTCCACAACCTGTTCTAACTATTGCGGCCCGTACAGTAAAGTACAATTTCAAATGAACCAACGGGGTCATGAGGACTTGCACTTTGTCCATGTTTGCTGTTGTTTCCAAGCCGTGTCCCTAAGCCGTGTCCCTTTATTTGGCAGTACCAAAGAGACCTCTATCATAGGTCTGCAGATAGGTGCCATCGTTTTACCCTTGTTGCAGGCCCTTTCAGAAAATTGGTGAAACAACTCTGGCATGGCATTGGGCATCCAAAAGGAACCCCCCTCCCTATAATCGCCATCGTGCTTAGCTTGATCTTTTAGGCACCCAAGGGAAACCTATAGGAAAACCGACCCCTTCCTAGGCTTCCCAAGCAGCGTATCCGTTTGCAGTCCCCAGAAACGGCCCGCCTCATCCAGGCCAAAGGGGTCGAGGTGCTGTAGCACCTCTCGATCCCTGAGCCGGAACCGACCCTTTTTCCCGCTTGGCCCACTGGGCTGCGTGCTAGTTTTGACCACCGGAAACTCTGCAGATTTCTCCGAGATAAGCACCTGGGCGTTGCATCACTCTCGAATTGCCTGGCTTCCTCCCGGCCACGGCATCCGATCCCGACCGAATCGAGGTGCAACTTGCCGACGGTGTTCGTGATATCGAAGTGGCTGATTCTCTGGTCACCCAAAAATAGACCCCAGCCTCGAACTATGCTGGATCATTAGCATACCTACACATGGGCTGCAAACATGGCATTCTATGTAGGCATTGGCACCGTTGGCTTTTGAACCGCAACAGAGCCAACTCAAGGACTCAATCTAGCTCCGCTAGCATGCATTCATGCTCGGCTATTCAAGCTGATCAAATCCAAAGATCGACGCCGCCCACGGCTTTTCTCACGGCCAAGCTGGCCTTCCGTCCACCGTCCCATCCCCCAGGCCCGATGAGCCGAGGCGCGTCAAAGGCCGCTGTGGGCACCCAGCCCAGGCGGCCCAGATGCGTTCGTTGAGGTCCTGCACCAGCTTCAAGGCCTGGCATCGATTTCATGGGGCCCATGGGGCCCATGGGGCCCATGGGGCCTTTTCAAGAGGGTAGTCCAAAGCCTTCTCCAGTTCCATTGTTGGAAAGAGGGTAAAGGGAGATGGCACTAATTCCCTTTCAGGAAGGAGAACGACAAAACTGCAAAGAAAGTCGTGCTATCTGCTTTCGCCCAACTGCAAGGGTCCTTTTCAGGTTGCAAAACTGGAAGGGACTTATCCAGTTAAGCCTTGAAGGGCATCGCGCGGTGGTTGAAGGGAATCAGACGGAAAGCGACCAACTTCGGAGTCAGGTGGCAAGCCACCTGATACTGGGGAATATTGTTCATACGGGGATTGATATGAGTGTTTCTCAAAATTGAGACCTACAAGTAGAAGGTTGGTTTCTTTCTCAACCCATCCAAAAGAGGCGTCGATATTTGGAGCCACCCCCACGTCAGGTTGCCCAAACACTTGGCCCTTGTCGAACCCGGTGACGTCTGCCGCCTTTCAAGGGGAATCCAAGACGGGTACCGTGCGTTTGACAGCTCCAAGGGAAAGCCGCGCAAACCCATGCGCGGGCATCCGTATCAAGGGATCACTCGCCCGCCAATGCCCCCCACACACGCAAGCCTAGTGGGGAAATGTAGCACATCCTGGCCTTGCGTGGTGACTGGAGGTCATGTCTTATTTGAGCATCAGCATTGGCTGACAAGCACAACTCTCCACATCTAAATGTGTAAAACTTGGCTCAACTGCTGAGTTAGTAGAAAGGGAGCGCAGTACAAGCAAGCGACCATTCAGGGCCAACCTACCTCGTTTGGCCAACATTATTTGCTGGTTCAGGAACCAGCCAGCTTCACAAGGATCACGAGATGTCCCAACTATCCCCCCACGCAAGCCACGGTAGCCAGTAGCATAGCTGTAGGAGTCGCTTCTTTTCCACATAGCCTCAATCCCTGGGTCTCCACCCGCTGTGCTCCTAGGTCCAGGAAGTCCTGCGCTGAGGGAACGGTCTTGCAAAGCTGGCCAAGATGGAAGGGGGCAGAAGGCTGATGTTGGGCTGCACGCGGTTCGGTTTGGCAATCAATATCCCTTGCTCCAATCCAGGGTGTAATTCAGGCTTGTGTCTTTTCCCTGTTGCAAGAAGAGCTCCAGATTGTCGCAGAAGACGCCCGCCACATCTTCCGGGAGAGATACCGCAGAGATGTGCGGCGTCACACGTACCCGCGGATGTGCCCACAGAGGGCTGTCGTCAGGCAACGGCTCTGCGGAGAAGACGTCCAAGATGGCAGTCTTGATCCTGGGCCGGTCTTCGAACTCGACAAGTCGCCGTCGTTTTTGTTTCAGTCACCAGCCAATTGGGTCTCCAAATGGGTAACCCTCGTGGGTGAAATCACCTTTGGGCTCCCTTTGAAACCCCAACAAGGGCTCCATCATCAGAAAAGACACCCTCCAATAGAACGATGTTTTTCAATCAAACGGAATGCCAAGAATCCACCTCTCGTCCAGCGCCTTGAGCAAGCTTGGCTCATCAATAATACCTCGATGGCCATGACCCCCTGCACAAGATTAACCTTTTGCAGGGTAGTGGGACCATAATGTGCTCCCCAGACATTAAAGGACAAAAATCAAGGTCAACCCCAAAGTCTAAAGGAAGATCCAACCCAGCAGTCAAGATACTGCCACGGCCTACGTTGATAAATACCACCTGGTCCAACCTCGAGTCAGTTGGTTCGGTGCAGGCACGCAGCACATCTCCACTGAGAAGATTCCTGGTGCTCTCCGTGTGCGGAAGAATGTTCACAACATAATCACTTTCATGGAGAAGCTCCTTAGCTGCCCCAAACAAGCCTACAAACCTGTTGGTGAGTGCGAATACATTATGTATATATTGTATACATATACCACATATACAATGTAAACATATACCGCATACGCACCTTAACCATACACAAAACGAATATGTGTTTGAGTATGTTTTACTTGTGCATTTGTACGTGCTTCTTTGAGGGAACGGTTTGGGGTGGGTTGACTTGCAAGCCAAAAGGATTACCACCATTTTGGGGACCCCTGTTTTGAGAAACACCTGTATGTACAGGCATATATTTTCTAAAAGAAGAGAATGACAAATCCAATCCACCAAGGCTCCTCCACAGACTGCGTCACTTTGTCGCAGCCATGCTCTGGCCATGCGCTCTCTGGCACTGGTTGGCGCTTGTAGCCGACCACCCTGCGCCGGTTTCGGACGCATTTTTGTTCTGGGACCCTTTCACTCAACGGCTGGGTTCAGTTTATGGGCACTTGGACGGCCGAACACGAAATTAATTCCAATCCAAAAGTTGTTCAATCAGGCCCGGCACCATTCGTTTTGAGAACAACCCAAGCTAGAAGGCCGCTTTGTACCCATGGGTTCAAGTACGTACGTACTTGGACCCGGCCAAGCTTAAACGAAACCAAAGCAACTCCTCTGTGTTCTTCGCGTTCGCAAAGTCTAAACCTAGTGGCAAGACCTATGCTACGCAACTTGTTTACAAATTGTTTTAAAGTCTTGCAATCGTACTAGTCAAACTGAAACTGCAACATCATGTCAGAAAATGTTGCAGCTGTTTGCCCCCTAAGCAATACAAAAAAACAACTCAGACTGAGGTTTAAGTCGTGCTGCAACTACTGGCCATGTGCTCCCCCAAATCAGGACGTCTGAGGGGGGTCCATTTCCCAGATTCCGTTCCTAAGCGAAATGGTTTTGAGGGATTAGGGAGACATTTCTCAAAATGGTGGGTCCCCTTTTGGCTGCTATTTAACGAGACACCCCCAAACCGAACCGGTTGTTTGGAAGACCCCTATGGGACTGTCAACTCGTTGAGCTCGGTAGACCCCCGATCGGTGAGCTCGCGCTTTACATCTTCTTCTTGAGAGTGTCTTTTTGGGAACCAACCTGCTTGGAAGGGAATTCAAAAGGTCATGTTTGTGTTTCTCCCAATGTTTCTGGGTTCGTGCTTGTTGAAGGTACCCATTTCGAGCTGCTGTCACGGGAAACCAAAAGGCAAGCAACACTTTTTCGAGCTCCCTATATTTCCCCTTTAAACGTCACCCCGCCAAAACCCTGCTCATCTTTAATTGGCCCAAAAGGTGATGTTGGAAACCGCCCCAGCTTGGGAAAACGAAAACGGGAGCCCTGTTTCCATGACCACACAACTGTGTTTTCTTTCATTATTTCCTAGGTCCTCCAGTAGAGAGGTTAGAATAACGGTATCTTTGTTCCGTAGTGAATTTTTGTAGGGGAACCCTCCCCCAAAAAAGGAACGGTAAAAGGGCACTACTGGAAAACCTAGCTTCGGTCCTTCTTAAAACCAGCCTGGAACCGGGCACCGAACCGGAGCGAAACCGCGCCTCATGTTGAAGCCCGCCTTGGCGCTTCTGGCCACGTGGGCGCCGATGCTGCCGAGGCCCAGCAGTCCCAAGGTGCGCTTCCGCAGCGGCCGGAAGGGGAGCTGCTCCTACGGTTTGGCCCACTCCACCGAAGCTAAGATTGTCCGACTCTGCTCCAAATTGAGTCTACTCTAATATATATATATATATATGTGGAGACTCCAGCAATCATTGCAAGTAAGGGAGCTGTGAAACACTAATTTACAGTGCTTTACCATGTGTGGTCCTGCACCTTCATTTGAGAAAAAGTGTGCACAGTGGAAAAGGTGCGCATTTCAACAAGAAAGCGCGCAAAGTCCCTAAAACTGTGC